CGTAGCGCCATCGTGGACCATTGCAGCAGCCACTGGGTCCCCCGTCACTCACTCCAGCTGGAACTGCATCCCTGCCGGCAGGGACGGTGATACAAACCACGGTGCCGCTGCACACGGTGGGTTACTAGCACCCCAATCCTTGTTGGCAAGGAGCGCACCACTGTGTGTGAACCCTGAAAACGAACTAAACCGCCCCCCAAACCCCACCCTTGAGAATCTGCCTCGAGTTGCCCACAGGGGCATCGGTCACGGTATCTTCAGGAGACAAAAAGCACACCAGTTATTTTAACAGATGGTGTCACCCAAAGAAACGTTACAGTAGTCACTCCCTGCTTATTCGCAGTTTCACTTTCCATGGTAAACCCCGGGGTAGAACATGTGTGATGGAAAATTCCAGAAATAAACAATTCCTCCGTTTTAAATTGGGCACGATTCCGAGCGGCATGATGAAATCCCATGCGGACCAGCTCCATCCCGCCCCGGGCCTGAATGATCCCTTTGTCCAGTGTCTCCACGCGTTAGTCATTTAGTAGCGACTTGGTTATCAGATCAACTGTATCCCAGCCAGTGCTCATTAACCCTCCTTTTATTTTATCAATGACCTCAAAGCCATGCACATTCATGACAGCGCAGGGCGGGGCAAACGTAGGTTTACAGTTGTGAGTATGTTTTCTATATGAACAACTGCAAACCTGTTTTTGCCCCACCCAGTATATTGTTAGACGTGTTCTATTATTAATTACTGTTAACCTCTTACTGTGCCTAATGTATAAATTAAACTTTATCATAGGAATGTATAGGGAAAAAACAGTATATATAGGGTTTGGTATACATTTTATATAGATATAGATATATACATATACATACATAAATATGCATATACATATATATGTATATACTGTATATATACACTGAGTGGCCAGATTATTATGACTGGCCAGATTGTTATGACCACCCCATCAGTACTTTGTTGGGCCACCTTTTGCCTTCAATACTGCGGCGACTCTTCTTGGCATTGACTCCACGAGATGTTGAAAGGTGAAGTGAGGAATCTGACACCATGCCTGATGAATAGCACTGTCCAGTTCTGTGAGATTTGATGGTTGTGGAACCAGCTGCCTGATGGCTCTTTTAACTTCGCCCCACAAATGCTCCATTGGATTGAGATCTGGTGATGGTGGGGGCCACCTAAGCAAGGTAAAGCCTCCCTCATGTTCTTGAAACCACTCCTGCACAATACGAGCACCGTGGCATGGTGCATTGTCTTGTTGGAAGAAGCCATCTCCATTGGGATAAGCCATCAACATGATAGGATGAACCTGATCAGCAACGATACTTAGGTATGTTGTGCTATTCAGACGTTTTTAATGGTCTGGTCCTCTAGCAACTTCAGCGCGAAATTATAGCTCATTTGCCTACAAACGTCAGGTGGTCATAATTAATCTGGCCGCTCACTGTATATATAGGCTTTTATGCATCCACTGGGGGTCTTGGAACGTTTCCCCCCAGGACAACAATAAAGGGAACTACTGTACTTAGGTATAAAGGGTTGGTAACTAGGTAACCAAAAGGCAAAGGGATAACCTGATGGTATCACGGTGCGATTCACTACAGCAAGCAGCTACCGCCGTGGGCGAGCAAAGCAAAGGATCAAGTTTAGCATTATTGACACTAAACGCCTGGGTGAGGTTCCCACTGGAGATGAAACTCAGGCCGCCAGGGGGCGCTGCCCCGCCAGCGCAGGCGCGTCTGAGCGCGGAGGCCCGCCGGGCGCTGGGCCCCTCCCGGGAAGCTGCGGGCGAAATGGTGCTGCCGCTGCGGGGGGTGTGCAAGATTCGGAAAAGTTGCAAACTAGACTTACCAGCGGTTACCAGAAGGAACCGCCTCAGCCAGGGTGAAAAAAACTGCTGGGTGATGTGATGGGAACCGGAGAGTGACGGGAAATGAGCAGAGAGCCAACAGGAAGGAGCGCGTCCCCTTGACGTCCTCCGGGCGTCGGGTCTCGTTGGCGCCCCCTCCTGGCCAAGTGCAGCACAGCCGGTGGGCGAAGCGAAAGTGGTTTTCTGAGTCCCAACCTCAGATTCACCAAGCCCAGAGGAGGGGGATGGCCCTAACCGGATAGAGCGTCGGCCTGGGGACTGAAGGGTCCCAGGTTCGATTCCGGTCAAGGGCACGAACCTTGGTTGCGGGCACACCCCCAGTGGGAGGCATGCAGGAGGCAGCTGATCGATGTTTCTCTCACATTGATGTTTCTGACTCTCTATCCCTCTCCCTTCCTCTCTGTAAAAAATCAATAAAATATATTTAAAAAAGAAAAAGAGGGGGATGGATTTGAAACCAAGAGATAATAGCTTAATAACTGGCACACTTAACCGCAGAGCGTGCCAGGGGCCAGCGGCAAGGAGTCATCCAATACCTCTAAGGCCCAAATGTATTTTTAAGAGAACTTGACTGCATGAAAGACTGTTTTCCTGGATAGCTATTCTGAATGCCGTGCTGAGGTTAACTCCATCCAAATGACATCTTTAGTGCAAGTTGAATCAAGATCCCCATTAGATTATTTTTAGAAGATTTAACCCAATTATTCTAAAGGTCTTCTGAAGAAATAAGTAAATGAAAGAAGCCACTTTTTTTTTTCTTTCTATAGAGAATAAGCTAGGTCTAAAGCCTATGTTTTAAAATATAAGGTAACATGCCCAGCTGGTGTGGTTCAGTGACTGATTGTCAATCTATGAACCAGGAAGTCATGGTTCGATGCCCGGTTATGGCACATGCCCAGGTTGCAGGTTCGATCCCCAGTAGGGGAGTGCAGGGGACAGCTGATCAATGATTGTCTCTCATCATTGATGTTTCTATCTCTCTCCCCATCTTTTTCTCTGAAATCAATAAAAATATATTTAAAATAAATAAAATAAAATATAAGGTAACACTAATCAGTTTGGTCCTGAAAGATTAAAAAGATGATAAACATTAAAACTTCATATATAATATATTTGACAAATATGTCATCATAAAGCAACCAAGAATAGTGAAATTGTTCAAAATATTATTTTGGGGATTAAAAGTGTACAAATCAGTGGCATGAGTTACACTCACAATGTTGTGTAACCATCACTACTATCTTTTTCCAGAACTTTTCATCATCCCAAAGACAATTCTGTACCCATTAAACAAAACCTCACTCCCCATTTCTCCCAGCTCCTGGCAACCACCACGAATATCTTTTCATGTGCTTATTGTCATTTGCATATTTTCTCTGGAGAAATGTCTATTCAAGTTCTTGGCCCATTTTTGAATGGGGTTGTTTTGTTGTTGTTGTTGTTGCTGTTGAGTTGTAGTTCTGGATATTAACTCCTAGTCAGATAAATGCTTTGCAAATATTTCCCCCCATTACGTGGGTTGTCTTTTCACTGTTATATCCTTTGATGCACAGGTTTGGATTTTGATGTCGTCTAATTTATCTATTTTTTCTTGTGTTGCCTGTGCTTTGCTGTCATGTCCAACAAATCATTTCTAAATCCAGTGGCATGTAGCTGTTCTCCTGTTTTAAGAGTTTAAGGTTTTAGCCCTAGCCGGCTTGGCTCAGTGGATAGAGCATCGGCCTGCGGTCTGAAGGGTCCCAGGTTCGATTCCAGCCAAGGGCACATGCCTGGGTTGCGGGCTCCATCCCCAGTGTGGGGTGTGCAGGAGGCAGCCAATCAATGATTCTCTCTCATCATTGATGTTTCTATCTCTCCTTCTCCCTTCCTCTCTGAAATCAATAAAGAAATACATTAAAAAAAAAGAGTTTAAGGTTTTAGCTCTTCCATTTAGGTCTTTGACCCATTCTGAGGTGACTTTTCCATGTGGAGTGAGCTAAGAGTCCAGCTTGGTTCTTTTGCATGTGGGTACCCAGTTTTCCCAGCACCATTTATTGAAACGACTGCCCTTTCCCCATTGAGTGACCTTGAGTCCCTTTGTCAGAGTTCATCTGACCACATAATGAGGGTTTGTTTCTGGGCTCTCTATTCTATCCCATTGGTCCCTACGCTTGTCCTTAGGCCAGTACCACACTATTGTGCTTACAGTAACTTTATCATAAGTCTTGAAATTGTGAAGTGTGAGACCTCCAACTTTGTGCTTCCTTTCCACAATTGTTTTTGCTCTTCAACGTAGAGTGGATTTTTCTATTTTTGCAAAAAATGCCGTTGGGATTCTGATGGGGATTTTGTTGAATCTGTTAGAACGCTTAGGATGGTACTGACACTTAGCAATTTTACGTTTTCCAACCCAGGTTCACGGGATATTAACAATTTTTAATCACATAAGTGGCTCACACGACTGGCTTAAATATTCCTCCAAACACCACGTTAGTTCACTGTGTCAATAATATCACGTTAATTAGACTGGATGAATGAGAGTTGGCAAGTGCCTTGATAAGACATGTGCCCCCCTCCGCCCCCTTCCCCTCCAACTGTGGACAATTAGCGTTGGGGCAGCAGGAACTGGGCTGAGAGTTTGTGGGCTGTTTGACTGGGATTGGCCTTGGGTGGTGGGGTTGTGACTGGAGGTGGGAATGCAGTAAACTGGGCTGGTGCTAGGGCAGCGGTTCTCAACCTGTGGGTCGCGACCCCTTTGGGGGTCGAACGACCCTTTCACAGGGGTCGCCTAAGACCATCGGAAAACACATATATAATGACATATTGTTTTTGTGATTAATCGCTATGCTTTCATTATGTTCAATTTGTAACAATGAAAATACATCCTGCATTACAATTCATAACAGTAGCAAAATTACAGTTATGAAGTAGCAACGAAAATAATGTTATGGTTGGGGGTCACCACCACATGAGGAACTGCATTACAGGGTCGCGGCATTAGGAAGGTTGAGAACCGCTGTGCTAGGGGCTGTCACTGAAGTTGTGCTTGTAACTGGGAATTCATGGCTGGGCCTGGGGCTGGGCGGGGCCCGTCTCCTCCCTCCCCCACCCCCAGACCAAGAGCATAGCGAGACCACACAACCAGCTCACACATCTTTATTGGACCAGATGTGGGGTTTCCAAGCCCAAACAGGGTGCCTCCGTCCTGCACCAGCCCAGCCACGGAGCCCCGCCCACGATTCCCGGGGAGACCAGGTCCGGCCGGAAGAGATCACAGGTTGGTGGGCGGCAGGGGTGCCCCGGAGCCCCTAGTGGCCGGGGAGAGACCCACGCCGGTTCCCCGAGTCCTCCTCCCCCCGCCCCCGGCACCCTCGCTTCAGACGCTGCCCCTCCTGGAACAGGGAGGCCACGTCCAGCAGCGCGTCCTCAATGTGCTGCCCCAGCCGGTGCGAGTCCTGGAAGGAGGAATGGGTCCCGTCCAAGGGGAGCTGGGGGCGGGGCCCTGCAGGGGGGCTGGGGACCCAATCCTGGGCTGGGGGGCAGGTCGGGGCTGGGGGTCTGGACTCAGGTTCTGGAGAGGAGGGAGCTAGGGGTCCAGACTCCCGGGTCCTGAGGAAGGAAGGAGGTGGCGGGTAGTTCGGCGGGTCTCACCGTTTTTGTGCTTGATTTTTTGCTGGAAATGTGGAAGGTGACCGTGTCATCCCCCATGAAGATGTAAGAAACGCCGTAGCCGTGGTCATCCACCTGGAAAGGGACAGGGGGCGGGGAACAGAAGGGCCCAGGTGCCTCCCCACCAGGAGGCAGGAGGCAGGCGTGCAGGTTGCCAGCGCCGCCTCGGGGTTCGGGGCGCCGGGTCCGCCCGTCCCACTCACAGGCCCAAACCCTCCACCGGAGGACACGTAGTCGGGGTAGTTGTGGACGTCAAACAGGTGGGTTTGCTGCACGGGGATCTGGCTGGTGGCCAGCTGCCACTGCTCCGAGTGAACCTGAGGGAGGAGGACGGTCACAGACACCCCCCCCCCCAAAAAAAGAGAAAAACAAAGACTCGCAGGTCCGCGCCCCCTCGGCTCCGCTCCACGCCACACAGCCCTCGCCCTCTCTGACCTGCCCCCCTGGCTGCCCGGTTTCCCTAAATCTGCCCCCAGCTGCACCCGGCCCTTCTCCTTCCCCACCACCTCTCCGCTCTCCTCCTGGACCCGCCCCTTTCTCCCAGGCCACGCCCACCTCACGGGCCACGCCCCTTCTTCCAGGTGCCCGGCCATCCCTCTCCCTGGGACCAGCCCCTCCCATTTCTGAGACCACGCCCCTCTCCCCTTAGCCCCGCCCCCTTTCCCTTCCCTTTCGCCGGGTCTCCCCAGCTCTCTCCTCTGCTGTTACCTCCTTTTTCCAACACCCCCCTCCTTGCCCCCAAGTGCCTCCCTCGTCTCTAGCCCTTGCCCTGCACCCCAACCTGGTCCAGGAAGGGCGCCTGCAGGTGGAGGAGCTGGGACACGATGTGGAGTGCGAACAGGTGGCGGTCCACGCCCTGCCCGCTCATGGCCGCCTTCAGCAGAGCCTGGTGCTTGTCCACCGCCAGGCGGAACAGGGAGAGGCACTGGGAGTCCTGGGGTCCAGGGGAGGTCGCAGGTCATGGAAAAACAGGAAGTGGGCTTACTGCGGGGGTCGGTCACACCCCGGGCCTCACCCCAGCTTGCAACACCCCTGCAAGGCAGAGACAGCAGCCCTGTTTTACAGATGGAAACGGGCTCAATGGGGGAAAGTCACCTGCCCAGGGACACCGAGCAAAGCAGAAGCAGAGGGGTTCCCAGGCCTCCTGAAACTCCTCCCACTGAGCCACACAGGCAGGGGGAGAGGGAGCAGAGGTGCCTGGGGCGGGGGGGGGGGTGTCTGAGCAGAAAGGTTATAGAGGGAACAGGGGCAATGGTGCCAATGGAAGTCACAAGGTCACATAAGTTAAAAATCAAAGGTTAAATCATCAAAGGGCTGCATTGTGGCAAAAGGGCTCCCTCTTGGGTATTCCCCCCCCCGCCCCGGTCCTGTGAGACCCCCATTAAAGTCTTATCAGTCCAGCTGGTGTGGCTCAGTGGTTGAGTGTCAACCTATGAACCAAGAGGTCACGGTTCCATTCCTGGTCAGGGCACATGTCCGGGATGCAGGCTCAATCCCCAGTAGGGGGCGTGCCGGAGGCAGCTGATCAATGACTGCTCTCATCATTGATAATTATCTCTCTCATGTGTATATATATGCCTGTATCACACTATGCTGAACTATCTCCGTTTCCCCCATCAGGGAGCTCCTGGAGGTCCGAGTCCAGGCCTGTCCTCCCTGCCCCTCTCGCCCCCAGCAGGTGCTCCGTAAACATCTGCAAGGGCACGAGTGGGGAAGTGGAGGTGACCGAAGCCTCAGCTGAGGCTCACACCCACTGTCTTCTCTCTGTCCTCCATGGCTCGCACGAAGTGGCAGGCTTCCCGCGTGCAAGACCGCACCGTCTCCGTCCGGCCTTCCAGGAACAGGCGCGTCATGGCTGACTCATAAGTCAGGCAGAAGTGACCCCTGTCCTGGGGGACAAGGAGAAGAGGAACTGTCATCTGGGCTCAGGAAGTCTTCGCAGACGTGACCCACGTCTGGGTCTGGACCCGCAGCCTCCTCCCGCCCAGCGAGGTGTGGTTGGGGGAGAAGGATCCAGATGGCAGTTCCGCCCTCCGGTGAGACTCAGTTGGCTGGGCATCGCCCTGTGCACCAAAAGGCTGCTGGCTCGCCCTGGCTGGTGTGGCTCAGTGGATAGAGCGTCAGCCCTCGGACTGAAGGGTCCAGGGTTAGATTCTGGTCAAGGGCAGGTACCTCAGTTGCAGGCTCCATCCTGGACCTGGTCAGGGTGCGTGCGGGAGGCAACCAATCCATGTGTCTCTCTCTAAGCATCAATGTTTCTTTCTGTCTCTCCTTGTCCCTTCCACTCTCTCTAAAAAATCAATGGAAAAATATCCTCGGGTGAGGATTAACAACAACAAAAAGGTTGCTGGCTCAATCCCCAATCAGGGCACCTGCAGGGGTTGCAGGCTCCATCCCCTGTAGGGGGCATGCAGGAGGCTGCAGATCAAGGTTTCACTGTCACATCAATGTTTCTCTCTCTCTCTCTCCCTCTCCATTCTTCTCTCTCTAAAAATATTGAAGAGAAAAAACTACCTCTGGGGGGAAAAAGATAGTGGACCCACAATGGCCAAGAAGAGTCATGAAAGGGGCTGAGGTGGCAGGTCTTGGGGGACCAGGGAACCGAGTTCCTGAGAGGGGGTGGGGTCAGGGGACCTCACTGACCCGGAAGTGGGCCAGCTGCAAGGCCACCTGGATGAAGCTGTCTGAGGACAGGTGGCAGCGTTTGATGAAGCTCTTGCCGAAGTGGGAGAAGGGGAAGACGTGGCAGTCCGTGTCTCCGGACAAGGTCTTGGCTGCCCTCAGGGCGAGTGCGATGGACAGGTGGACCTGCCAGGGGAGGGGGGAGGGGAGGCCGGGTGAGAGATGGAGGTAAGATGAAGGTGGGGAATGAGGCTGGAAGTGGCGATGGGGATGCAGTTAGGGTTGGGTGGATCATGGAAGTTGGGACGAAGAAGGGAATGGAGTTGAAGGGCTAGGTTATAGGTGGAGGCAGGGATGCCACTGCAGGCGGGAATGGGGCTGTGGATGGACTGAAGTTACGGTTGGGGCTGGAGCTGGGATGGAGTTAGGGTTGGGGTTTCAGATGGGTTTGGTGTTGGAAACAGGATTGGATTTAGGATGGAGATGGTGTTGGGTGGAGATGAGTTTGGGTTGGGGATGGACTAGGCCAGTGATGGCGAACCTATGACATGCTTGTCAGAGGTGACACGCAAACTCATTTTTTTGGTTGATTTTTCTTTGTTAAATGGCATTTAAATATATAAAACAAATATCAAAAATATAAGTCTTTTACTATGGTTGCAAAGATCAAAAAATTTCTATATGTGACACGGCACCAGAATTAAGTTAGGGTTTTTCAAAATGCTGACACGCTGAGCTCAAAAGGTTCACCATCACTGGAGTAGGGGATGAGGTTGGTCTCGAGGTTGAGTTTGGGGATGAGAGTGAGTTTAGAGTCAAATCCAGGAATCTGGGGACTCGGAGGAGAGGCCCGGCGGCCCAGACTCACCTTGTCTGGAAGGTCCCAGTGTAGCCGCTGGGGCCGGGGCAGGGAGGGCTCAGGGTGGCCCTTGCAGTGGCCGTCCACCGAGTAGCCCAGCTGGAAGCACTCCGTGGCCAGAGTGAACTGTGTACAAAGGCAGGCGGTCAGGGTCCCTGCCTCCCTCTGGCCCGCAGCCATCTAACGGGGACCTCTTGGACCAGGCCTTTTTGAGCCTGGGGTCAGTCCCTGAGAAGGAGAAACCCCTCATGTTCACAAGCGGGGTCTCAGGTTCAAGTCCATCGAGAGTGGGAGCGATGCCAATACCCAACGGCTCTTCCTATGCCTGACCTTCTGACAGGTTCTCAGAGCACCAATGGCTGCCCAGCCCTCCCGAGGACCGCCCCTCAGCATCCATTCTGACTAAGCAGGGCCCACACCCTGCTTTTATTATTGTTAAATATTGCTAAATATTTTATTTTTAAAAAATATGTTTTTATTAATTTCAGAGAGGAAGGGAAAGGGAGATAGAAACATCAATGATGAGAAAGAATCATTGATCGGCTGCCTCCTGTACTCCCCCTACTGGGGATCGAGCCCACAACCCAGGCATGTGCCCTGACCGGAATCGAACCATGACCTCCTGGTTCATAGGTCGACGCTCAACCACTAGCCACGCCGGCCGGGCCTGCTAAATACAGTGGGGCCTTGACTTACGAGTTTTTTAAGATACCAGCTGTCTCTCGGCCGATTTTTTGCATTGAGATGACAGAGTAATTTGAGTTAACGAGCTTCTTAACGAGCTCGGTTTCGGAAGGAATTAAACTCGTAAGTCAAGGCCCCACTGTATTTTAAATCAACCCTGATCGAGCACCTGCTACCCTCCAGCGTGGCATTTCTCTCTATCTTACTCTATGCGACATCTCCTCGTTCAACGCAGACACACAGAGATATGTGGACGTGAACAGCCTGAGGGTCTGACGTGGAACTGAACTGTGTCTCATTTGCCCAAATATTCCCATTTTACAAACGAGAAACGGGCCCAGGAGAGGCTGCGCTGATCTGGGCTGCTCCCGAGGTCTGGAGGGGCCTCCCTCCCCCCCCCCTCACACCCTGCTCCCCACCCTGGGCCCCGTCCAGCCCTCATGCAGCACTGGAGACAGGGCTGATGGGCAGCAGGCATCCCCCACCCCCCTCTGATTTAAAATGAAATAAAATAGAGACTTGAGGTTCTCAGGACTGGATGGGACTTAAAGATAAAAGGATGGAGGGGAGTAACTTGCCCAGGGTCACTCAGCGATGATGATGATGATGTGATTCAAAGGCCCCTCATTCTGGCCTCAGAACATTCCGGATTCACAGTCCTGCTCTGCTCTCCTGGCTCTGTGACCGGGCAAATCAGCTCCCTTCTCTGAGTCCCAACTGCCCACCCAGGCCCCTGCCTTGCTGGGTGGCCCTCGCCGGTCTCTCCTTTCTCTCTCCAAACCTCCGCTTCTCCTCTGACCCTCAGTCCCGGGGGAGGAAGGTCTCTGGAAATGGGGGGGGTGGTCCCCAGGGGGGCGGGGGGCTGCCCTACCTCCCACATGTGCCCTGAGACGGGGCAGTCCGCCCACGAGTGCTCCACGCTGAGGCCCAGCTTGCCGTTGGAGAAGACGATGAGGGTGAAGGACTTGTCATACCAGCTGCGGGAGAGAGGTCAGAGAGGTCACCAAGGAGCGGGGCCCAGGAGGGAAGCCGGGGTGCCCTGAGGGCCCTGTGGGGATTTCTGGGTGGGGAGACTTTTCTGGAATCAGGGCTAGTGTGGGACCTTCAAGAGGGCGGGGCCTCCAGCTGGTGGCTCTGGATGGGCTCTGAGCCAGGTCCAAGGGGTGAGGAGCTGGGGATTTTGAGAGAAGGTACCTGGTAAGGTGCGAGGCTCAGGGGGCGCTGGGAGGTCAGGGCGCGTTCCCAGGGGCCTCAGAGACCAGGGTGACTGGTGGGCATCTAGGAAGTTGTCTGAGCGTCTCTAGGTCTTGGGGGGTCTTGGGACGCCAGCTTTCAGGTCTGGGGGTCCCGGGGTTCTGAGTCTGAGATCCCAGGCTTGGGGTCCGGGCTCGGGGGATCTCTGGGTCTGAGCGTCCAGGTCTGGGATCTGGGGTTCCAGGATCTGGGTCTAGGCTTCTCTGGGTCCCCAGGTCACAAGGCATTGAGTCTGGGGCCCTCAGATCAAGGGGGCCTTTGGGTCTGGAGGTGCCCCAGGACTGGGGGGTCTGGGTCTGTGGGTGTATGGCCCGGAGTATTAGGTCCAAACACGGGGTTCCGGTCGCAGGTCGGGGTGGGGTCCAGGACCCGAGCCGACTCACCGGTCGTGTCCCCGGCCAGCCAGCAGGGCGTGGGCGTAGGCGTCCAAGGAGGCCGCGGGGTCCTCCCTGGTGA